GCTTCTGGCAGGGATGCCTGGAGCTGGTCCCAATAAACTGCTGAGATGTCTCTTTGAAATTCGATATTGGTTATAGGGCTTCTGCAAGAACCACAGTCAGACCAAGTTTGGCAGAACTACCTGTGAGACCCTGTCTTCCTCCAAGTCCCTGAGTGGGCAAAAGTGTTCCTAGCCTCTGCTTCAAAGGGTAAGAGCTGGATTATGGGGTCACTTCAAGATCTGCAGTTGGAATGAGGTCAGTGGGCCTACCCCTGAGGACACAGAAGAAGAATGTGTCTTCTGACATTCTTCAGGATTGTGTGTTCAATTCCCAATCAGGGCACATATCTAGGTTGTGTCTTTGACCACCAGTGGGGGCATCTGTGGGAGGCAAACGATCAATGTTTCTCTCTCACATCAATATTTCTCTCTCCATTTCCCTCTCTCTAAAATCATTAAACATATCCTAGGATGAGGAGTTTTTATTAAATTTGCACACAGGAATCATGTTCTCCAGAGTTACTAGAGAACACATGACCATTCTGCTCCCATTTGTCCCCTCTATATTCCAGGGCATCTTTGTGTGATAGAAAGACATGAGCTGCATTTTTAGACTTGTAGAAGCCTGATGAGATAAGTAAAATAATCCTGATCTCTAGGCCTATGTTTTATTACCAGACCAACTATACCTGAACTCCAGGGAATCAGATGACCCTCTGGTGGGGAGAATTTGCAGGAATATTTGGGAAACCCAGGCTATAACCAGAGTCCTTTCCTATGGGACTTGAACCTGCAGGCATTCAGGGCTTCCAAGGTTTCACTTCTACCCAGAAAAGGGAGCTCACCGTGACTGAAGTTGCAATTTGTCAAGGGAACTGACAGCATTAATTTACATATTTATAAACTATAACTGGGCATGGGTTCTTTGGGAAGCAATAACTATTACCCCTACCAAAAAAGAAAAAATCCTTATGCTCAGAGAGATAGGAACAGTTCTGACTCATTTGTCCTGGTTACTGGCCCCAGAGGATTTCTCCTTTAGTCCAAAAGAGAATAGGAGGAAGTGACAGTGGAACCCTAATTAAGTCAGTGACGCTTCCCTGTGATTACCCGCCAGAGGGCACCCTGCACATCAGGGTTCCTGAGGCTGTAGATAATTGGGTTCAGCATGGGGTTGAAGACAGTGTTAAAAATTCCAACAGCTTTATCTTTGTCTGAAGCGTTTTGTGAACCCATACGCATGTAGTTGAAGATACCAGTTCCATAGAAAAGGCAAACCACAGTGAGATGGGAGCCACATGTGAAGAAGGCTTTCTTCCTGCCCTCCACTGAGCGGATCCGTAGCACTGCAGCTGTCACGTGGATGTAGGAGGTGATGATGAGAACCACAGGTACACCTGCCATTACGAAACTCATAGCAAAGAGCAGCCCCTCATTGAGTTGGGTGCTGGAGCAAGAAAGCTGGAAGAGCTGTGGCAGGTCACAGTAGAAGTGATTGACCTCATTGGGACCACAGAAGTTGAGTGTAGTTAGGGCAATAGTATGGATCAGTGCATTGGTGAAGGCACAGGCCCAGGACACAGCCACCAGTATCCACTGGACTGAATGGCTCATGCGGGCGCTGTAGGTGAGGGGCCGGCAGATGGCCAGAAATCGGTCATAGGCCATGGCTGTCAACAGAAAGCAGTCCACACCAGCCAACTGATGGAAGAAGAAAAGCTGTGTGAGGCACGCTCCATAGGGAACTTCACGCTTGTGGGACAAGAGGCGACTCAACATTGAGGGAACAGTGACAGTGATGCACCCAATGTCCAGCACTGAAAGGTTTCCCAGGAAGAAGTACATGGGGGTGTGGAGTTTGGGCTCCATCAAGATGGCAGCCAGGATGCTGAGGTTGCCCCCAACTGTGACCAGGTAGGCAAACAGGAAGAACACAAAGATAAGAGGCCACAGCTCTGGTGTCTCCACCAAGCCCAATAGAAGGAACTCAGTAATAGTTGTTCCATTGGCCCCAGATTTTGGCTGCATTAGTTCCTGCAGGAAAACATCCAAGAAGATAAAGAATCATTCCTCTTGATATATTTATTCAAAAAGAAAACAAATATTTTTTTCTATATGCTGAGGTTTTTACTCAGTACCCGCTCCCCAAGTAAGAACTTTCCTACTCCCAAGACATGCCACAGCTATTAACTCGCTTGTGACATTTACCTCAATGGCTTTCTTCATTCTTAGGTACATGGACAGGTGACATCATTCTGGACTTCTCTCCTTGTATTAGCTGAAAGAATCTATTAGTAGAGATTATGAAAGGAAAAACCCTTGGGAAAAATAAATAAGTAGAACGTGTATTTGATTTAAACATAGCAGAGTAAATCTGGAATTTTCTTTTCTCAAATCTCTTCTCAATACAGACAAAACAAGAATACAAATTAGATTCTATCTTCAATGAAACTAGTAAATATCCAAAACTCTTAATGCACAAACTAGATCAGAGGACTTCAAGAATAGTGGAGGTTAAATAGGAAAGTGGAAGAAAGAGAAAAATCCATGACCATAGTAAAATCTAGACAAGTATAATTTCCATAACAAAAGGGCACTCACTAGGGAATAAAACCAAAAGCCCTTCTTTGCAATAATGGGAGTAGGGTGCATAGTATGGCATCATTACCTCTGTGAACCTGAGTTGGATTCAAGAAGCAAGGGAGAGCTAAATGACAGATCTCACAGGCAAGCTGTATTTGCAGGCTGTAGACAAAACATAGAGTTGGGGTGAGAGATAAAGAAAACAGATAGGTCCTACGTCTGTTACCTATCTACATTGATTACAGACAGGGAAATGCTAAAGTACCTCACCCCTATTATGTGCCAGAAGACATAATAGTTATGCAAATGAATGCTCCCAATATCTGGTATTGATATATACAGCCCAAAGTGCAGGATTTCAAGAAGAAATAGAATAATAGCTAGTGGATTTTAGTGACTTTTATAATAGAGTTAATTTGACAGAAAAGTAAGGCTATAAAAGACATCAATATAATTAATGATTCAAGAGGTAGAACTGACATGCTCATCTTTTTCTTTTTTTCTTTTATACTCACTTTTTTCAAATACCCATAAAACATTCACCCTCCCCAAAGAGCATATATAAACCAGAAATTTTGAAAATTCTTAAAGCATAAATAATTCAAACAATAATATTTAATCACAATCCAATTTAAAGGAAAATAATTTTTACCAATAAATCCCAATATTTTAAGAAACAGTTGGACCAAAGAGGGAATCAAAACTAAAAATGAATAATGTCTGTGGGAGGAAAAGGGGAGATAATGAAATCAATACACACTAAAGAATTATCATTAAATCAATGTTCAGAAGAAAATGTATAACCTTAAGTAAATATATTAACAAAAAGAAAGAACATTGATTAAAAAATCAAATCAAGAAATTAGAAAAGAACTATAAGAAATGGGGAGAGGCTGGAAAAAGGGTGCATTTAGTTAAAAGAAGAATGAAGTTTAAGGATTAAAGGTATAAGATGGTGACTATCTATATATATAAAAGCCTAATATGCTAAGTGTCCGACCAATTGGTCAACTGTTTGGTTGACCACTCAGCCAGTCACTATGATGCACACTGACCATGAGGGGGCAGACGCTCCAACCAGTAGGTTAGCTTGCTGCTGGGGTCTGGCTGATCAGGACTGGGTGAGACGGCCCCAATCGGCCTCGATCACCGGCCAGGCCAAGGGACCCCACCCATGCACGAATTTGTGCACCAAGCCTCTAGTTGTTAATAATACTGCATTGCATCATTGAAATTTGCTAAGAGAACTTAAATGTTCTCACCAAAAAAAAATGTAACTATGTAAGGTGATAGATGTGTTCATTAACTTGATTGTAGGAATCCTTTCACAATGTAAATGTATGTAATCATTATGTTGTACATTTCAAGCATATTTTAATTTTATTTGTCAGTCATACTTCAAAAAAGCTGAGAAAAAATGAAAATAAAATGACATTTTATAAGCTTTAAAAAAATGACAAGTCCAGGAATAGACCTAAGGTAATGTTGGAATTTAATACATGAGGTAAGTGGCATCTTAAATGAATAGGAAAATGTCTGTGCAATAAGTACTATGAATAGAAGCAATAACATAACTATCTTGGAAAAATGTAAGTTGTATATATACCTCATATATTTTGCAAAAATAAAATTCTAAATGGATCAAATATTTAAATACAAAATTAAAATTATTGGGGGGAAATGTGGAATTTTAATAGTATAAGGATGACTCAAAATATAGAAAAAACTTAAAAATAACCAAAATTGACTGATCTATAAAAATTTAAAACTTCCAGCAAATTAGCTAAGGTGGAACTACATTCCCAAATTCCATTCTCTGTATGATTCCAGGTTAGGGTTGGCCACAAGGGGAATTTGCATGGTAGTTGTAAGGTAGAATTGAAAAGGAACAAGGAAAATTTGGCAATATTTTTCAAAATTACTAGTGTGTTTGTCCTTTCACCCAGAAATTCCACTTCTGAGAATTTATCTAACAGATATATGGGCACATTTAAAAAGTGACATATGCATGAGGCTGTTTGTTGCAGCACTGTTTGTAATAGCAAATAATTGAAAATAACCTAACTGTCCTTTAACAGAGGACTGGCTAAATTCATAATGGTATATCCTTACAAAGGAATACTATGCAGCTATAGAAAACAGCTCTGTCTGTGCTAATGTGAAAGATACCAAAGCCATATTATTAAATGTAAAATACAACTTGTAGGATGAATATAGTATGCTTTGGTTTACATTGAAATGGAGAAAAAGAATACACATAGGCACACTG